CAGCAACATGGCACAAGTATACATATGTAACAAACCTGCACGTTATGCACATGTACCCTAGAACTTAAAGTATAATAATAAAAAATAATAAGTAAAAAACAAAACAAAACAAAACAAAACAAACAAAAAAAATCCATTCACCTATTTCTTATTCCAGTATTTTTCAATGTTGTACTATCTGCTAAACCTCATCAATTCCTAACTCTTCAGATGGTTTTCTTTCTCTAACATAATGACTGAGCTTCACTACAAATTGTGCTATACTAACTTGCACCATACATTTCCAGAAACCTTCAATATCTAAATGCTTCAATTTCTCCTAATCTCACAGAGCATGCCCCCTCACCTTATTTTCTCCTGTGTCTAACCCAGATTAAATAGTTGGCCAAATTATCCACTCTTACACAAGAATACTCAACTTCTTTGTTCTTCATTCTTCTGCTGTACCAGCCTGGCAAGGTCCTAATCCCAGGTTAAGTCCACAACACATTTTCTTTCTTACTATCCAAGTGTCTCAATTATCCCATTAAAATACTAGTGTGTATTTGAAATGGCACAAGTAGAAATTAATGACCTCCAGTCTAAGATTATTTTCCTCTACTCTCTTTTAGCATGAACCTGATTAGTATCTTCTCCTATTCTCATGGTGGCTAATCAGCTCCTTTACTATTCTGCTAAAGCTTCTTCCTCTTTCTCCTGCTCCCAATCCTCCACTTTTCTCAGAAGACTATTTGTTTTAGCCCTTAGCTCAAAGAGTAAATTGAGATTATTAGGTGAGAAGAAATCAGCTTCATCTATTGTCCTTTCCCAACACACATAATTTTGTTTATAGCTGCAATCTTCTTACTTCCCAACACAGCTGTCCTTCCTGTTACTCAAGATGAATTATCACACTCTTCTTACCTCCCTCAGGATTCTCTTTCATTGATTGTTCCCTTTCACTCCTAGAAAATCGTGGTTTTCTACACTCTTAGCTAGATCTTTGTCATCAAGTTTCTCCAACTCCCAAAGTAATTTTCTTGTCTACGCACCTTATTCTAGCTCTTTATTGCCTTCCTGCCCTTCTATCCATAGTTGTTTACACCAGTTTTTTTCTTTTCCTCACCCTATATCCATTCCTTAATGCACTTCAAGGTGGAATACATATCCCCACAGCCTCACTTCAGTCAGTACTTCTGTGGTTGTGAATTAACCAGAAAGAGGTGAGAATAGAATTCCCAGTGCCTCCAATGCCAGTCTTACAGATGTAATTACTCTTGGTACCTCTAGTTTGAAGTGCTCTGTCCAGGGTACATGCTTCCTATTCCAAAGGTCAGCACCATTAAAAGAGATGCCTTTTCACTTGAAAGAAGGGTCTGTTGGTGAGTGCCATATCCTGAAGGGAATGACCAGCATAGAGTTTGAATCTTATAAGAAAAGCAGAAAAATCACCCACCATCTCTGAAATAACAGGATTCACTTACAAAGTGTGTCCCTAAATACTATACAGCCATAAAAAGAATGAGATCATTTCCTTTGCAGGGACATGGATGGAGTTGGAAGTCATTATCCTCAGCAATCTAATGCAGGAATTGAAAACCAAACACCACATGTTCTCACTTATAAATGGGAGCTGAATTATGAGAACACATGGACACATGGTGAGAAACAACAAACATTGGAGTCTGTTGGGGGCTGTTTGGTGAGAGAGAGCATCAGGAAGAATAGCTAACGGATGCTAGGCTGAATAATTAGGTGATGGGATGATCTTTTCAGCAAATGACCATGACACACATTTACCTCTGTCACAACCCTGCACATCATGCACATGTATCCCTAAACTTAAAATAAAAGTTGAAGAAAAAAAAATGGAAAGAAAAACAAAGATCAAAGTATGTCTCTAAAGATATTCCTGATAATACAAATGGCACAATGTTATGACTAAAACTTCATCATATTCCTTTCTTACCTGGAGCCCAATTCAGAGGTCAATACTTTACTTCTGTCTCAATATCACATCTCAACTCCCATTTTTTCCTTACATCAGGCAACCCTACTCTCACTCCCCTCTTCTTCAAACTCCTACTGAATTTGTAGGCTGCACTGTGAGAAGGTAAGACTACAGAGCATAGGCACATATTAACAGAGCCGTAGGCATTTTTGCTTGTAAAGTCTCTCCCATGAACCACTCTCCCAAACTACAGCCATAATCTTTCTCCTTTCTGCTACTGAAGAAAATGTGGTCAAAGCAAGAATAATAAGGTTTTGGTCTAAGAAATCTGAACACCTAAGAGCTTAAAAGCAGGCAATCCAGCTTTCTATTTGAAATCCAACAGGAACCCCTTAAGCTTAATTAGGAATTTGGTCACTGAAAACTTTATTTTGTGGAAATAACTAAATGTTTTCTCACAATACAAATGTGTGGCAGGTCTTTAAATGTGATTCATTGGAGCTGAGTCCAAAACCTTACTAGATACTAGTACCATCTACCCCAAAGCAGCTGCTTTTTCCAACCAACTAGCTCAGCGTTGTGGTTTTCACAAAGTTACAGCCAAAGTGAGCTTATATTATTATGGCATCAGAATTTATATTAATTTTCTAAGTCCCAGTGAAGAAATTTCCACATCCTGTCAGTAACTAGCTAAGTGCTATTCACATGTTACCTCTAATCTTTGTAAGAATTCTAAGTTAATTATTACTATAATCCTTTACAGATTAGAAAATGGAGTCTCAGCAGGAGTAAGTGACTTTCTGCAAGTCAGAGTTATTACGATTTTAACTGTAATAAGGCTTTTCATAAGCACAGAAAGCTGAAGTTATTTTTAACTGAATAACTTATTATATGGACAGAAACATATTTTAAAGTGGTATTTCTGTGGATAAGACTGTTCCTCGGAGATAAAAAAAAAGAGAAAAAAGCTATTGTTTTCGGTTCTAGTTCTAGCAGTTTTATGTATACACACTACGCATATAAGGCAAATTGCCGCCCACAAGGTGTCAGGATAGGGTTATATCAAAACTAACGTTCTTTATGGAGTTGTGCTTATGAATTCAAATTATAACAAATCTGCAGATAGAAGTACTGGAAGAATTTCTTTACAACAGGAATGATCTGAGTAGGACAAGACTTGCTGTAAGATAGAGAAGACTCAAAAGCAGTAGAATTTTTAGAAAAGTGTACTGGATTTGTAGCTAAGATATTGGATATTGGTAATATTTAAATACTCTTTGTGCTGCTCTGATATGCTCTTTCCCTTCTGTGAGTTTCATTTCCTCATTATTAAAATAATATGATTTAAACTAGATGACCTTTAACTCCCTTCTAGCTCTCATTTGGCATGATTTCATGAGCATTCCCCCTCCGAACCCTGCCCCTAACTAATACCATCACCACTGCGATGCTGCCACTTATGCAGCTGGTACCAACTCCATAAATCTTCGCTCTCAATCTTCCCCGTCTTTTCACCACTCATCAGTAAGTCACTGGCACCACTAAGTAAACATGTTTATCAAATTTACTTCTCCATTTTACTTGATGCTGAGGCCTGTCTGTGGGCTTGTCATCCTGGGAGGAGAAGAAATAATTAAACAGAAAAAAAAGTTGCTGATGGGGGCCCCTCCCACTCTCCAGAGGACAACTTTTAAATGTCATCTGGGAACTTAACTTGCTTTGCCTCATCTTACATTTTTCTTTTATTTTTAACCACTAAATTTCACATGAATTATCCAAAACAATCTGATCTCCATGGCCCCGGTGTTCTTCATTCAGCCGCTTACAACCAGAACCAAAGAGTAGCAGCTAGAATTGGAAACTCTGCTGTTTCCTGAATAAATCTATATCAACTCCAAATAAGCCTGTTTGACATCCAAAACACACAAATTTGGACACATTCTGCAAGTATAGACATTTTCCTCTGTTAGGGGAAGTGAAAATTATTTTTATCCTTAAAATGAATTAAAGTAATTGTGACCACTACCAAGCAACAACTTAAAGTTTGAATCTGAACTTTTACACATGAATCTGTATTGGATTTTCAATCATTTAGGAAGGTGGCCTAATTAGATATCATTTTTGCAGTTGTTGCAGCATTTTATGGGTGGAAATAATCATGTTCTTTGGGAAGACCTGGTATCATATCATGTCTCAGTTGTTGGCTCTCTGGCCTGAAACAATTCACTTCATATCCCTGGGCTTCAGTTTCCTCTTTTGTAAAATTAGAATAGTTTCTGCCACATAATTTGTTTTAAACATTAAAGAAAAATGTGTGTGAAAATAATAATCTGAGTAAACAGAAAACCCCCAGAATGGGAGAAAATATTTGCAGACTATGCATCTGACAAAGGACTAGAAACTAGAATCTACAAGGAACTCAAACAAGTCAGCAATAGAAAAACAAATAATCTCATTATAAAGTGCTCAAAGGACATAAATAGAGATTCCTCAAAAGAAGATATACAAATGCCCAACAAACATGAAAAAATGCTCGACATCACTAATCATCAGATAAATGCAAATTAAATCCAGAATAAAATAGCACCTTACTGCAAATGGCTATTATTAAAAAGTCAAGAAAAATAGATTCTGGTATGTATGTGGATAAAACAAAATGCTTCGCTGGTGGGAATGTAAATTAATACAATTTCTATAGAAAACAGTATGGAGATTCCTTAAAGAGCTACAAGTAAATCTACCATTTGATACAGCAATCCTACTAATCACAATTGCAAAGATGTGTAATGAAACTATGTGCCAATTGACTAATGAGTGGATAAAGTAAACGTGGTATATATATACTATGGAATACTCCTCTGCCATAAAAAGGATCGCAGTAATGTATTTTGTAGTAACTTGGATGGAGCTGGAGTCCACTATTCTAGGTAAAATAACACAGGAGTGAAAAATAATAATAATAAAAAAGATGTTCCCACTTATAAGTGACAGATAAGCTACGATTATGCAAAGGCATACAGAGTGATATAATGGAATCTAGAGACTCAGAAGGGGGAGTGTGAGACAGGCTAGGCATAAAAGTATTACACATTGGGTACAATGTACACTACTCGGGTGATGGGTACACTAAAAATCTCAGAATTTACTGCTATATAATTTATCCATGCAACAGAATAAACACTTGTAGTTCAAGAAAATACTGAAATAAAAATTAAAAAAAGAAAATGTGTGTAAGAGTACCTATTTTCATGTCTGATACCCAATAAGCATTAAAGAAATGTGAGTTCATTTCCTCTTTATTTGTACACAGAGTCATCTCCAAGGGCCTTTGGTTGGATCCTATACGTTTCTTAATTTAGAAAACCCCCTAAGAAGTGTAGTTGTAGCAGAGGACTAGAATATCTAGAGCAGTAATTTTTAAAGTGAAAGGGTAGAAAATAAGTGTTACTTGAAAAAACATATTCCTTATTATAACAAATGTATTTGGAAAACAAAATAAAAAATGTCATTATTGTTTCTACAATAAAAACTGTGAAAGTACAGATCTACAAAATCTTCTTAGCTGTTGGGCATTTAGTACTTGGAAAATGTCAATGTGATGGAGCAGATTTTTCTACAAGTCCAGGGTCTGGTTCCTAGGAAGGCAAGTTCACAGTAACCTTGTAGTGAAATGTTTATGTTTCTCAAAGGGAACCTTGGTTTTAAAAGATTGAGAAATGCCGATTGAGTGTCATTGTCACTCTGGAAATCAGATTTCAGAAAGTTTTATCTTTTTTCTTGCATTTTCTCATTTTTTAAAAAGGGAAATTGCTTACAAAGCATTTGCCTGTGGTCTAAAAGTTGAAGCTCTCATGATGACATTACCTGAAAGAAATATAATGCCAATTGGGAAAGGATACTCAGTTCTCTTGGAGATCTGAACTACACTTCCAGAATGTCCTCTCTAGATAGATTTCCCTATTAAGATTCCATTATTCACCACTCCATAACATTTAACTCTTCGTAAGTATCTAACAGTCTAAATCAAATCATTGGATTACTAGGAAGGAAATTAGAAACCATCTATTCCAAGCCCTCTCCCATTATAATAGACGAGATTATTGAGACCCACAGAAATGAAATAACTCACCAAAAGCCACACCAGTCATTGGCAGAACTTGAACTATAACATAGACTTCTGACTCCTTGTGTATTGATATATCTATTTTATCACTCTACCTGTGATGTATATGAATTGATACTAGGAGAAAACTTCCCCACAAAATATACTGATCTGAAGAATAAATAAACCTTTTTGCCAAAAGCTTTTAAAGTAAATCATAGACCCCCAGAAAGCCATTGCCATGACTGTGAGAACTTTTAGAAAGTCTCATTTTACTATAAACAGCTCTGTTCTCTTTGCTTGAGCCATTACAGAGAGCTATAGTATAGATAGGCTGGCCCCATTTTTTTTTTTTTTTTTTTTTTTTTTTTGAGACAGAATCTTGCTCTGTCTCCCAGGCTGGAGTACAATGGCACAATCTCAGCTCACTGCAACCTCCACCTCCCGGGTTCAAGCGATTCTCCTGCCTCATCCTGCCCAGTAGCTGGGATTATAGGCGCCTGCCACTGCACCCAGCTAATTTTTGTATTTTTTAGTAGAGATGGGGTTTTGCCATGTTGACCAGGCTGGTCTCGAATTCCTGACCTCAGGTGATCCACCCGTCTCGGCCTCCCAAAGTGCTAGAATTACAACATGAGCCACCAAGCCCAGCAGGCTGGCCTGTCTTTTGAAACCCCAACTCACTTACTTCAAACTAAAACAACCCAGAAATGTGTTTATTCATTTGGTGTCTTCAGATTTGAGTAGTCTGTACAACTTGAACTCTACAACTTTCCCAGTTGAGCCCCAAAATAAACTGCATTTGGCCAGAGAATCTGTGTTCAACAGGAACTATTGCAAAAACAATTGAACCAAATGTGTGATCTGATTCTGACTACAGTTTACACCATTTTCCACCTCAGTATACCTGCATGTCATCTACTTTCATAAGTGATTAATTTTACTGTGCTGCAATTGCTAAGAGATAGATTCTCCAATTAATAGACATCATAATGACTCCACACATCCATTTGAACAACTTAAATAAAAATATTCTCACTTTCAGGATTCTTGGAACTGAGCCTACTCCCCTGGAAAGCACAGCCAAATCTGGTATCATTCTATCTGGACTTATCTTGGTTCCAATTGATTTGGCACAGTCTCCCTTCAGGGATTCCTTAGCTGAAAGTCTCCTTTTGATTTAGTTATCTTATCTCAGAAGGAGAGAGGTGCTAGTATTCAGAGTAATAGCAATAATAACTGAAAAAATGAGTGCCTCACTCATGGGTTCTGCTATCCAGTAAGGCTGAACTTCAGTCAAAAAGTAGCTTTCAAAGGATCAAGGAACCACTCTGACCAGACTCTGAAGTCATCTGGGATATTTTCTCCTTTCCTATGACAGGGTCACAAATAAATTTACAGTATTCTCTGGGAGATGCAAACTGCTGTAGGAGAAAGGGAACATGAATTTAAAGACACAGGTCCTAAACCCACCTATACTACTAACAAGCTGAGTGAACCAAAGTGTCTTCACTGTCTCTCAGTTACCCTGACTGTATTGTGAGGGATTTGGATCTCTACAGGCCCTTTCAGCCCCCAGAATCTATTATCCTACTTTCTACTATTTGTCTCAGTATCTCTGAAAGCTAAATTTTCCAAAGCAAGGATTTTATACCTAAAAATTTTTCTTCATTATGCAGCTAGATAAATTATACACCATAAAAAATTAAATTTACTTTTATTGGCTGAATATGTCAAGTTGTCCCAATGAGTCTCACTGAATATACTCTTCTTACCACTTTGTGCCATCTTCTCTGGTCCCACTCTATAAAGAGCGCTCATAAAGAGTGAGCTGCATCACAGACTCCATGCTCCTGGCATAATGAAGAAGACTGATGGCATTAACGTTAACTCTGGACTCTGTTCAAATTCAACGGTAATTATCTTTGCTCCTGTTGTAAGACGTCTGAGATGAGAAACCAGTGACAATTTTAATACAGACACTGGCCGCACATACACCTCTGTTCTGATCTTTATGATCACACCAATCTTCCCACATGAAACCACCAATCCCCAGGTGCTAGGCATTAACTTACCCTGGAGTTTAGCTGGGATAAGCACTCTTGTTTCTTTGCAGGGAGCAAAGGGTAAAAAGCTTTACTCTGGCGGCATGGATCCTGCTGATAACTGACACATTTGTTGTTGAAAGAGGAAGTTGAGTTTATCTGGTGTCTCACCACAGAAACCTTATTTGCACAAATGAAAGGTAAGTCCCTTGAGCAAATGACGTTACTCAAACTTTTTTTTTATTTCATTGGTGCAGAGAAATTAAAATAGCGGGGAGTCAGAGGCTATGCGTACTAACACAATGGCTGTATAACAGCCTTCCTCACCCTATCTCCTTCCTTGAAAACCAGCATATCTAGATTTTCACTGATTCCAGTAGGTTCCATGGTAAGATGAAATTTTCAGGCAAATCTAAAGATTGTTTACCTAGTAACAGGAAAGCTGCAGCTTGTGCAAGCCTGAGGGGCAAAGGCTGAGGAAACCTAAAAAATACAAGTCAAAATTAAAAACAGTAGAAGTATCATAGCTTAAGATGTTCCCTCCATTTGGAGTGCCCCTCTCCCAACCCCTTTGTCTCTAGACTCACAATTTAACACATAGTTTCATTATTTTTGTGTATTTACTATCCATTTACTGGACTGCACACTGCTTGAGGGCAAAGATCATGTCTGATTCATAGCTGTATTCCCAACTTGCCCAGCACAAGGCATTTTCATGAACTGTTATTGAATGAATACATCTGGGAATTAATGAATAAACAAATGTTCAAAGAATACATGAATAAGTAAATGAACATTATTGATTACAGGGTCTCCCTCCAGTGTACTAAAATTCTGGTATTTATGTGCAACATATATGAGGCCTTCGAAATTGTGTGAATACAGGAAGATCATACACTTGAGGACTATAGTGTCAACTAAGTTTGAGAGTAGTTTTGAGAAACAAGGTTTAAAATGCAGCACAAACCCCTGTTGGCATGTAAGGGAAAGATAAGCTGTCAGCATTGGAAACTAAGAGCTTGGGATGATTGACGGAAATGTCATAACTTGTAAAGACTGGCAAAGGGAGAGGGTACTCATCCTGGCTGATGTATGTCAAATGAAACAAGTTTAGCCTTGCAATCCGCTTCTTAATTTTGATTTCAAATGTTTATTCAGCTCCTATCTTTTGTTAATTTAGGTTTCTGACTTGGAATCCCTACTGAAAAGAGAATACACTGACAGACCAACACACATCTCAGTCCATTTGGAAGTTCTGTTCCCCACTATGGTTAGTGTGAGCCAGTTTTCCTAGGGTAAGATTCTTCTATGAACAAACAAAAAAGTTCCAGACCTGTTGAGCTTTGAAGGCAAACCCTGGGATCCAGAAATAAAAGAAATCATTTTCTTACAATTGGCTACCATCACCACATCCCAGCTTTATTTCACAGACAAAACCTTCACATTGAGAGTAGGAAGCCTGCCAGATTACTTCATTTCTGTCTTGCACACAAGTAGCTTCTTCTGTCACTGACTCTAAAAAGGGAAGAAAAATAAAACCAGAAGTCAGTGTCTCAATTGAAATGAAGAAAAATTTTAACTTAGGTAAATTTTAAGTGTTAATTATTGATATGGTTTGGCTCTGTATGCCCTCCCAAATCTCATTTTGAATTGTACTCCCATAATTCCCACGTGTTGTGGGAAGGAGGTGATGGCAGATCTTTAGAATCATGGGGGCAGTTTCCTCCGTACTGTTCTCCTGGAATTTAATAAGTCTCATGAAATCTGATAGTTTTATAAGAGGTTTTTGCTTTTGCATCTTTCCCATTTTCTCTTGCCATCGCCATGTAAGAAGTGTATTTTGCCTCCCACCATGATTCTGAGGCCTCCCCAGCCATGTGGGACTGTTACGTTCAATTAAATCTATTTTTCTTGCCAGTCTCAGGTATGTCTTTATCAGCAGCACGAAAACAAACTAATACAATTATAATGAATAAATCTGTGGAGAAACAAAGCAAGCTGATAACCTAACAGTCATCTCCAATTAACTTTTAGAAGAAAGTCTTTTTGTTACTAGATATGACTTATGGTCTACAAATCATTGTAAACTAAAACCAAGTAATAAGTACCCTAATTATAAGATTTTTAAAAGTAGTGCAGTTGTACTATTTTACCAATAGTTCTAAATTCTTCCCTTATTCTTATGTATGTCATCAAAGTTTACTTTAAATGATGAATTATGTTTTCCATAGGCTGGGAAAAGTTTATGATTTGGTGCTTCAAAGGCTTTTAATTCTCTCTAACAGTATCAATAAATGAGGAGTGATAGCTATTGTTGAGGATGTTATTTATTATCATATATTGTGTTTCCTAGGTAACCCTAGAGCTCTATATGATTTAGTATGAGGAGAAGCTAGATGTTTTCCTAAGCAAATGATTAAATTTTATTTTTATGAATACTGACTTTATAATTGGTCATGTGTCTCTTTTTACAAAGTCAGATTAAAAATCTTGAACCAACATAGAATCTACTGGTAGCAACTGTGGAGATTTTTTATGGTGTGCTTTGTGGGATTCATTTTTATTATATCTCAATTTTTATGTCTTTGCCAATTTTTTCATTATTATTTTTTATCCACTTTAACTTATATTATCTTCTTATAACATTCTTCCTTTGAAATAACTTTCAGTCCTTTCTAGAACATTAGTGGAATCCAAAAAGGAAAAATAAAGGACAGAGTGAACTGTGAACTTCAATTATTTTCAAATTAGAACTAGTGAAATTAAATTGCTTTAGATAAAATACCTTCAAGAGATTTCCATGTCTGATTATGTATCTACAGAGTATTCCTATGCATTTTTGAAAACTAATCATTTAACAAATATTTAATGAACTACAACAATGAGAAATCTCTCCAAAGCTGTGGGGGAAGGCTGGGATTGGGAAGCAAAAACTACGTTTCCTATCCTCCAAGAGTCTACAGCTTATGTGACAAGTTAATTATTCATAAAATAGTTAGAAAATATAGCATAGTATATAATTTACTGTGAAATTGTGTGGAAATTAAGAAGATAAATTAACCATGGGCTGAGTCTGTTGGAGAATGTTTTCTGGTCCTTTCTTGATGGGCAAGTTTTGCTTTAAGCAGTGTTTCCCAAAGAATAAAATGTCCTAGTGGAGACCTACCAAGGTTTTTGTATTTTAGGTGGTACAAAGAAAAGCTTAAACAATTTAAAGCTATACATTTATTTTACATATTTAAAATATAATAAAATTAACCATACAAATATATGACTTCTTAGATAATATTTCTTAAGAGGAGGCTAAAGTAGGTAACTAAATTTTAAATACTGTGATTATTCACAAAAAAACTACACAAAAAACCCACAAAACTGTAGAGGGTATGCCAATAACAAAATCTGTGGAGAAATATTTGAGTATCTGCAGTTTAGAAAATTTAAAGAGAGTAGAGAAGGCAAGGGATTCCAGGAGAGAGAAGGAATATTGCCAAGGACATGAATGAAGAACAAACATGTAGAATAAACATGTACTGTTTGTGTGAAAGTGAGGACAAGATTTTGTCTGACCCATACGGCATGCTGGAAACAGAGGGAAAGAAGCTTGGAGGATGGAGATCTACAAAAACGTCTTAGAGTATAGAAGCCATGGAATACAGGAAGTAATTGAAAGAATATAAACAGATCAGAGGAGGGAAAATAAAATTATTAGTTATTGAGTACTTTCCATGTCCTATCACCATTCTAGGCAATTTGCGCACGTCATCTAATTTAATTCATCAAACAATCCTATGGAGTAGGGACTAATATTATCACCCATTTTCTGCATTGATGAATTGAAGCACGGAGAAATTAATTAACTTCTCAAATATTGTAAACAAGGAAGTGGGAGAGGCAAGATTCAAACTCACATGTGCCTCGCTCGACAGCCTGCTTCCTTTCTACCATTCTTTGAATGATCACGGAGACAATAGTATACAGAATGGATTGCAGGAGGGGGCAAAACAGGAGGTGAAACTCTCTTTTAGAGGATAGACCATTATATTTGAAGTAATTAGAGCCTAGATAGGGACAATGACTGTAAGAATGAAGATAGAGGATAGTTTCAAAAAGATATTTTTTTCAAAGAGCTCTTAAAGCTGTAATCAGTAAAATGAAAGAGGAAATGAATTTTCACAAATAGGAATAAATAAATCTTTCAAGGGGTTCAACTTTTGCATATTTTCCATTAAGACTTTTTTTGAGTCATATGATGAAGTGTATCTTCTTTCAGTGAGAAAAACATACTTTGTTGCTGGAAAAGAGGTTCTTTTTTCTGAAACCCAGAGACTTGTTTTGGAGGCAAATTTACCACTTGGCCAGTTCTTGTGGGCCCCTGTGAAGAATCTATAGTCCTGACAAGGAAAATGATTCACATAATATGAATTTTTAATGAACTGTGTTTCAGAAAATTTTCATAAGAAAAGATTGTATTCAGCCAAATAACTGGCCATTTGGGTCAATGTGCTATGTATTAACCAGAAAAATGAGATTTCAATAAATTCTAGGTGATCTCTTTGGTGCCCATTTAGTCTAAGCCATAAGCAATGAGCAAGAGGCCAAGGAATGAGGCAAAGAATGGCATCTCTTGTCTCAGTTTCATACTTCAGGCATTGTGCTATGAGACTTATTAATTTTCATATGTGTCACCAGGATTGATCATTGGGAAAATAGTGGAATAGGTGAAGACTATATTTGCACCTTATCTTTCCTTAGTAGCCTTTATGTCCAGCACTCTTCTCAAGGATGTGATATGCTTCCAGACCCTCTGGGTTCCTGTTCTTACAAAATAAAGTGATCAGAGTAGGCTCTTCATAGTAAAACAGAAAAAAGTATTTAGGAAGAGGGCACTACAAACACAGAAGATTAGATTCTAACTGCCTGCAATTTTAGGCACTGACAAGCAATGAAAGATTATCCAAATCAGCATTCCTCAAATAAGTAAACCTTTTGGGCTCAGAGCAATTTACACCCCTAAAAATTATTTAGGATCTCAGAGAGCTTTTGTTTATGTGGGTTATATCTATTGATATTTACCATATTAAGCATTGATGTCAATTTTTTTAAAAACTTCATGTATTCATTAAAATAATACATTTGTTAAATGTTAATAAAAATAACTTATTTTACAAAATATAACAAATTTACCAAAATA